CATTTAACTTTTTAAATTTAGAATGAGACTTCCTACTTTTTTTTGTATTGTCCCCAAAACAACCAGCAGTGTCTGGCACCAGGTGTGTGTGGCCAGGTGAACAGACTGACTCAGAAAGTAATGACCCTGCCCTCCTGAATCCCTGTGGTGTCAGGTTGCTGATGAAGCAGAGACGGGCTGGGCATGTCTGTTGGACAGCCACTGACCCCTGGCCTCCCTCTCTCTCTTTTAGAGACTGATCGTGTGCCTGGAAGAGTCTCTGTACATCCACAACATCCGTGACATGAAGGTGCTGCACACCATCCGCGAGACGCCCCCAAACCCCACAGGTAACGTATTTTCAAGAAGAGAAGCCTGCTCTCTTGATTCTGCCTGTTAGTACTAATTGTTGGTGATATGTTTTGTGGATTTTAAGTTTTTATTTATTCCAATCTGGTTCCAGCCTCCAGAGATCTAGACAGATTGAAAAAATGCTGATCTTAAGCCCAGTTACCTTCACCTGATGCTTATCTTGTGACCATGGACAGTCACTATTTAGTCAGCTTCCCATATTGAGGTTCCTGATCAGTGCAGCACAAAGACATTTACTGTTTTAATGCTGCTGTCAGCTTAAGGGGCATCTGGGCGCTACAGATGGCTCTGGTCCACCCAGAGGTGCCTTGGAAGAAAGATCCAGCAGTCTCCTTTCAGAGAATCAGCTAGTGAAAACCCTGTGGAGCACAGTTGTACTCTGACACACTGGGGGTCTCATGAGTTGGAATTGACTTGACGGTAACATAGTACTCAGTAGTTCTGTGGTTTGTTTTCGTTTTAAAATCTTAACATGGTGCTTTGGAGATGTGGAGCTCTATAACAATGAAATGAGAAGACTGTGTTAGCTATAGTGTTGATTTCTCAATCAATGCTAAACGATGTCCACCAGTTCTTGGACTGAGCCCAGCATTTGCTCCCTGTGTTCTCTGCAGGCCTGTGTGCGCTGTCCATAAACAATGACAATTGTTACTTGGCGTACCCTGGGAGTGCCACCATCGGAGAGGTGCAGGTCTTTGACACCATCAATCTGGTGAGTTTCCTTTTGTATTTGAACAAGAATGAACTTTTTGTTGAAGCCATTGTCTTCTGGGCTCTGCTGCACAGTCTTGCTCCTTCCCATTTGAGTGGCAAAACAGCTCCAGTCCAGTCCACTACTCTCCAGGAACCTCACTGTGTTCCTGCCAGTGTGGAGGAACAGAGAGAGCTGTGAGGAGAAAGTGCTGAACTTTGCTTCAGGTCTTGAGCAGCATTTCCTTAAACTCAGCGAACTTGGTGCCTGTATCAACGCTGATGCTGTGTTAGTAGTTGATGGGACGTTTCTGTCATGTGCACTCAACGGGGGCACTGCTCTCTCTTTTGCAGAGAGCTGCGAACATGATCCCAGCTCATGACAGTCCTCTTGCAGCGCTGGCTTTCGATGCAAGCGGTACCAAACTGGCCACAGCTTCTGAGAAGGTGAGTCCTGCTTGGTGGCCACCCAGCCAAAGACTGGATTGCGACCTTTTGTGAGCTTGCATTTACAGGGCCGAGTAGTCGTCAGACCAGCTCCTCTAGCGACCAAATCTTGGCTGAAAAGCCACTTGCTAATCTGTGGAGCTGGCCACCTGGGAGTGAGTGGAAAACACTAGAAAGTACAGAAACCCACAGAGGAGGAATCACACTACGTTCCTCCAGGGTTATTTAAAAATTACCAACCAATATCAGCTTAAGATAAAGAACTTAGACAATCGTGAAGAGTACCAAATTTTCCACATACAAAGCCCACATAAATAGCATGAGCAGAAAAGTAACACGGGAGTTGAGTGGTTTGCAAATAGCCTTCAACATGAGATTTATTTGCATAAAATACATCACATGAAAGCAAGCATGGCATTCCACTCTCCAGAGCTGATATGACAACATTTCAGTGGACTTATTTGCATTCTCTTTTTATTATTTATTTAACAAAGTTGATATTGTACTTTATCTTTCTTGCACTGCATCAAAATGTATTCCTTTAATTCAGTTGTGATTTACTTAAATATGACCTTTATAGAGCATTTGTGTTGTTTCGGTTTTTCTATAATTTTATTTTGTTGTTGAGCATAAACGCCACAGAAGATAACACCAATCCAACAATTTATACATAATTCAGTGACGATGATTACATTCTTGGAATTGTGCAACTTATATTTCTAATGTTTTGCTGTTATAAATGATAATTGCTTTTATTGTTACGTACTGTGGAGGACTGACTAGTGGGTTTGAACTACCAACCTTGCAGGTAGCAGTACAGTGTTTATCCTACAGTGCCACATGTATCTGTAAATCTTGTCTCAATTTTTCTGTGCATCTCTGATTCTTATCTTAGAGCCAGCATTCCAATAAGATGAGTGTTGAGTTAAAAGCATCTAGCCTGTTAAAACCCTCTCTCTGCACAGAATAAGGGACAGTTGTGGTTTAGTGGTCAGATTCTCACCTCCCATGTGGGAGACATAGCCCTGGAGTGGTGCTGCAGGTTCAGCACTGGACTGCGAACCACAAGGTTGGCAGTTCAAACAAACAAGGAAACCCTTTACAGGGTCGCTGTGAGTCGGAATACCACGTGAGAAATACAGGTTCGATTCTTGTTCAGTGGGCGTCTGTGTGTTGCTAGGATGCATAAGCAGGTTTCAGCAGAGCTTTTAGACTGAGTTAGGCTAGAAAGAAAGGCCCTAGTGAGTCACTTCTGAAGACCAGTCAGCCCTATGGGTCCTAATGGTTTGATCAGCAGTCAGACGTGGGGTAGGTGCAGGACCAGACAACATTGTATTCCATTGTGCCTGAGTTCTCCGTGACTGGGCTACCTCGAGGGCAATGAATGACAACATACCTAGGATAGCTTTGCCTCCTGAATCTCCCGCCACCTAGTGGCTTCTGCTCCTTGGCTCCAGGATGCTGGAGTGCCTCATTCTGGTTCTGACTGCAACTGCCCCGTCTTTCTTCTCTTGGATTCCATTCTCTGGTCACGTCTCATTTCTTTTGGAGAGCTGATTGTCCCTGTGACTTTGCTCATCTCTCCTGGGCTCAGCACCTTTATGAAGACACTGTACTTGAGTAATTTCCAACACACGTCTTTCTTGCAAGGTGTTTACAGGGCACATCTCACATCAGATATGGATGCTGAATTCTGCATTTGACACCCTCAGTGGTTCTGTAAGGTAATCAGGCTCCTCCCCAGTTGGCAGCTGAGCCTGACTGGCACCCATGCTTTGAATGCTGTTCTAGACTGCCTCGTTACCACCTTAACCTCCTCTCCTTTGGGCTGGTCAACATGACCAGACCTTTGTTTGCCCCTGTTAAGCCGAGACGAGACTTCCCATGATGGTTTTGATTAGCTTTTGGAAAGACCCTGAAGCACTCATGGAATTTGAGACCGGGTGGGTCCTCTTGTTGGTCAGTGGCACCGAGGGCCTCCAGAGTGTCCCGGCTATCATTTGGGAAGATGATGTACAGGCACACTTAGCTTTGTGATCTTTATACCTTGGAGGCTATGGCAGCCTATGGTGAGTAAATCTGCCGGTGCCTTTTCCATCTCCAGCAGCATGTGCTCACTTCGTGTCTCTGTCCCACTGCGGTCATTCTCAGGCATTTCACATGTGTTCATCGTGTCACCGCACACTTAGGGACAGAAGTCTAGATCACTTTTATATGCACTGGGGAAATAAAAGTTTGTATTACTCATTTTTTGTAACATTTGCTTTATGGTGGTGGTCTGAAACCACACCAACAGCAGTGGTGCCCTGGTTAAAACCCTTGATTATTATTTTATTTTTTAACTTTGTGTGAATTAAGCGAAGGTTTACAGAGCAGATGATTAGTTTTGCATTCAACCAATCGTACTTATCTCACTTCTTCCCTGTGTTTGTGTTCATTCCTCCTCTGCCCACCATTTTGTACTTTGTCCTTGGGTAAATGCTGCCCTTTGGGTCTGGGATGGCTGACCGTTCTGTGATGTGCGTTCCTCACTAACGCTGTTGTTCTCTTAGAGGCCCATCTGTTATTGGATGAAAAAAATCAAGCCCTGGGGTGATCCCAGCTTCTGAAGGCTTAAGAGACACTTCCTTGGTGTTCCTTCCCCATAGATGCCACTGTCCTTAGCCACCATCCCCTCAGATGGACCCTGTTCCTTCCTTACCAGTACTCAAGCCACGCCTGGGTGGTCTCCAGTTAGGTAGGGTAGAGCTCCTACTGCGTTATTGAAAGATTCTTTGGGCAAATTATTGAATAATGCAGAAATCATCAAGAGAAGATGGAAGGAATACATAGAGTCACTGTACCAAAAGGAAATGGTTAATGTTCAACCATTTCAAGAGGTAGCATATGATCAAGAGCCAATGATACTGAAGGAGGAAGTTCAAGGTGCATTGAAGGAATTATCTACTTATAGACATGGCAGGATATGTGTTTCTAGAAATGGAATTTCATTTCCTGTTCTTTACTTGTCAGGAGTTGGCAGTCTTTATGTTGTTAGTGTGTTCAGTCTATTCTTTTTCATAGTTTATCTTTAGTCGTTAAGGTAAAAACCACTCTTGTTCCTAAAGGTAAAAATCCCCATACTTTATTTGGGAATTTCTTTGTATTTTTCATCTGTTTTTGTATTGTTTGAACCTTCTAACATTTGTAGGGTATAAGATCGGAGGCTGAGTAAATCCTCCTACCCTACAAATGTGACATGCAACCGTTTGAAGGGTTGCCACTCTGTTATTTTATGACTGTGGCTTGATATAACTTTTTTTTAAAAATTCCTTGTCTAGGCTCGACTCCACGGTACACAACAACAACAACAACAACAGGCTTTAACAAACGTATTCGCTCACAGTTTAGGAGGCTAGAAGTCTGAATTCAAGGGGGCAGCTCTAGGAGAAGGCTCTCTCTCTGTGCTGGCTCTGGGTGAAGACCCGTGGGTCCAGCGGACGTGCTCCACTCCCGACTCTTCTCTCCTGTGGTACAAGGTCCCTTGGCCCCCTTGACACAGTGTTCTTTTAATATTCACATTGGAAGTCCTATTCACTTCTGTTTCCTCTCCTATCACTATGTCCTGTTTCCCCAACCACAGACCCCTATTGGTTTGTGGGTGGGAGGCAGGGCAGTGCTGGGGAAGTTGGCGGGAGTATCGCTGTCTCCTCATTTATTCTTGTCTTCTTTTGTCTTAGTCAACACTGATATTTTTTTGAATTGTGATTTGGGTGAACGTTTACCGAGAAAATTGATTTTTCACTCAACAGTTCCTTCACATTTGGTTCCGTGATAGTGATTGCCATTCCCACAATGGAACAGCCCTCTTCCCCCCTCTTCCCATGTCCTCCCTGTGTATCCCATTTCCTTCCCTTTAGCCTCTTTCCTGACACTTCCAGTTGAAGCTTTCTTCCTAGAGGTCTTAACATTTTGTAAGTGTGGTTGGTTCTGTACCAGGCATTTTTCAGGTACTGGTTCTCTTGATGAGTAATTCAATGTCAAGTGGACGGAACAAGCCCCAGCAGGCCCTTGAACGACAGCAGCCGCAAAGTTCAGAGAGGGCGTGGGCGTGTAGTGTGTGCTCAGCTGATAACCCAGAACTTGGCATTTCAAGCCCACCCAGTAGTACTGTGGTAGAGGAGAGCCAGCTGTGTGATCAGATTGACAACAGCAAGTTGGATGTGTTGAAGCACAGGGTGGCAGGGGATTTGTGTTGATGGTGGTGAAATTGTTAGGGAAAGGTTGTTGGCAAAAGGTGCTAAAGCTTGAAGAATGTCCCCAGTGCTGCTGAGTTGTGCAGGTAGAGATTAATGAAGGTGATGTATGTTTGGCTCTCTATATTTATTCATTTTAATAATTAAAAAAACAAAGTTAAACTAAATTCCAATAATAGAGTCCTGTAGTTTAATGGTTCCTTAAAAAAAAAAATTACAGTTGAGAAAAGCACATGAAATCACTCTAGTGTGTAATGCATGGGGTCCCTATGAGCCACAATTGGCTCGATGGCAGCGAACAACCGCAGCCACAGTGCTTGCTAGCGGGTGGCACATGTGTAAGTGTTCTTTTGAAATGACTGAGAAACAGAGTGGTTCAAATCTACAATTGAACTCTTGGCTGTGTTTAGAATTAAAAGAAAGATAATGTTAAGGAAATGATCAAATGGAAGGGCTGTCCTGGGTTGCCAGGTTCAGGAAGTGTGGAGGGGTGTGCTGGACTCCCACCACCCCTTATGGAGGCAGTTGTGCTATTAAGTGTTGCCAAGTCAGTTCCGACTCCTGGTGACCCTGTATGAGGAGTGGCTGGTGGGTTTGAACCACCACCCCTTGCAGTTAGCAGTCTAATGCTTATCTTACAAGCACCACCCTAGGACTTTCATACAGGGCCTGACATTGAAAACTGTAGCGGCACACCTTGATTTACTGCACTTTGTGTTACTGTGCTTCGCAGACACAAATTGTGGCCACCCTGTATCCAGTTAGTCTGTCGGGGCCATTTTTCCAACAGTGTGTGCTCACTCTGTGACTGTGTCCCATTTTGGTCACCTGCACCATATTCCAAACTTATGCTATTGCATGCATCACAGACTACAATCTGCTCATTATTTGCACTTGGTGGTGGTGGTGGTTATGTGCTGTGGAGTTGGTTCCGACTCATAGCGACCCTGTACAGGATTTCTGAGGCTATAAATCTTTATGGGAGCAGAAAGCCTCATCTTTGTCCTGCAGAACAGCTGGTAGGTTCGAACTGCTGACCCTGAGATTAGCAGCCTGATTGGTAACCACTATACTAACAGAGCTCCTTAGAAACAAACAAACAAAATATGTGTAACTTGCTTTCTGGAGCATTCTGGAAGTGAACCTGCAATATTGCTGAGGTCTGCCTGGACTACATTAACTTTTCTAGTCACATATGAAAGAAATATAAAAGTCAATATTTGCTTAGCTAAAATTCCTTTTTTTCATCTTTCCTGTCACAGGGGACCGTGATTAGGGTCTTTTCCATTCCAGAGGGACAGAAACTCTTTGAATTCCGGAGAGGAGTTAAGAGGTAAAGTATGTGAATCTTCATGCTAAACTATAAAGTCATAAATTCATAAAGTATAGAAACTTTATATACAGAAAATCACTTCACCTACCTCGACAGGCACATTTTTATAAACATAAAGCAGATCCTACCTGGATGTTGAGAGATGGCTAATAGTCTGCAGTTTGAATAGGCCCTGAGTACTGCTCCTTAGGCCTTCTCAAACAGCATTGGTGCTGCAGAGTCCTGTCCCCTGCGCTCCATCCCCGCTGCTCAAATTAGCCTGGTTAGTGCACAGTTCCTCCTCCCCCCACCCACCGGCCTTGTTGGCTCACTGGTCTTCCCCCACCTTGCTGGGTCTGTTAATACCTCCTCATCCCCCCACAAAGAGAGGCACAGTGTGGAGCACTCGGTACTTTGTGCTCCCTTCCTCGGCTCCTCTGCTGAGCTCACCTCAGGGCTCTTCTCAGATTCTCGGGGCTGCTGCTTCAACATTGCCTGCTTCACCGAACTCAGCTTCCATAGAAGGTAGGAACATGATGGTGCCCTCAGGGGCCTCATACTGTCTGTCCCCTCCTCCCTTTCCCTCTCTAGGACACACGTCTCCTGTGGGCAGAACTAAGCCAAACTCTCCATGATCCCTTGCACTGTCTGGTCGCCTGTGTGGTTTCAGCCTTTCCTTGAGTTTCCTCAGACGGCACCTTTCTAGGTGTTTTCCTCTTTCTTCCCTAGGGGTGTATGGGCCTGTGCACTGGACAGCTATGCTTTGGCCCCACCCCCTTAGCCTGTCAGTGTCGCCTCTGACCACCTGCCTTGTGGCCCCTCCCCGCTCTCCCTCTGTCTAGATGCTGGCGTTGTCTAGCCCGCCATTGTCTGGGGGCTACAACCATAGAGAGGCATGAACGTCTAATGTTACATGGCTGAACCTTGAGAACATTCTATGAAGTGAAAATAGACACAGAAGACGCAGCTATGTGGAGACCAGGAGATTAAGTGCTGCTTGCTTTTCCTTTGAGCAGATGACTGCCCAGTGAGCAGAGCTGTGTAGAGGTGGTTGACATGGCAGGTGCTTTACGGCATATGGTCCAGGCACAATGCGCAGGAGGAGACTTGCTGTGCTGTGAATCAGTGAATTGTCTCTTCCTTTCCAAACTCAGCTAGCAATGGCTCTGTGGAGTCCTGGGCCGGCTTGTTGTTCGTTGCCCAGAACACTTTGCTGTTGCAGAACCTGTTAACTTACACATTTCCCCTCTGAGAAGGAAACTGGCTGAACAAATGAGAGAAGGACAGCAAGTGGACCTAAATGGACCTACCATGGGGGCTTGCCCTGTTGAATTGTTCTGGCACATTCCTTGCATAACACGACCTGTCCCTTGCCCTCACTCCCAGGTGTGTCAGCATCTGCTCCCTGGCCTTCAGCATGGACGGCATGTTCCTCTCAGCGTCCAGCAACACGGAGACTGTGCACATTTTCAAACTTGAGACTGTGAAGGAAAAGTGAGTACAAACCCAGTGCCTCACTACTTTCCCCACATAAACCTCCTGGGGATACTCATGCACACCATGGTGCTGCCTTTGACACTGCCAACAGTGAATGTCGTTAGGTGCCAGCCCTGCCCCATGTATGTCTCAGCACTTTCTAGGCTGTGATCCTAATGGGAGCAGATCACCATCTCTTTCTCCCTCTGAGTCACTGGGTGGGTTCAAACCAACATCCTTTGCACTAGCAGCCAACTATCACACCACCAGGGCTGCTATCAATAAAGAATAACAAACATGAACCAAACACACTGTCATCGGGTTGATTCTAATTCATAGTGGTATTATGGAAAGTTTCCAAGGCTGTGAATCTATGAGAGCAGACAGTTTCAGCTTGCTTCTATAGGGAAGCTGGTAGATTTGAACTTCCAACCCTGTAATTAACAGTCCAATGCTTATCCTCCAGTGCCACCAGGGTTCCTTAAATAAAGAATAAATGCCACCAAATCTAGGCTCAGCAGTGTACTTACTACTCACAAGAAAGAGGAATGGTGCCTTGGCCCACTTCTGGGTAAAGAGAGGTACCTCCTCGTCAGCACAGATGCCCTCCTCTTGACACTTACAGACAGCCCCTTGTGGCGAGCTTACATATACTTGAATACCGTGTCTCCTCGAATCTGCCTGCATGTGAGCCAAGGGATGAGGTGTGGGAAGCAGCTGCATCACAAAAGTAATCGGTTTACATTATGCATGACAGTATTGGATAGGTGTGGTGAAGGAGTTCTTGATTTTTCTCCTCTTAAATATTGAAATGACTAAGGGAGCATGGTGGCTTCATAGGATAAACACAGGACAGTGAACCACAAGCCACCAACCACTCTGTAGGAGAAAGATGAAGCTTTCTGCTCCCAAAGAGTCAACGACAATATGTATTCTATACTGCACCAACAGCTGAGGTTGGGGTTGTCTATCCTCTCTCTTGTTTCAGGAAGTATTTAGGGTAACTGAGGAAACACATGGTAGGCAACAGCAAAATGGGTTTGAGCACAGCGACATCTTGACAAATTGTTACTCCTCCCAGGTTGTGGAGACTGTAAATGTGTGCGTGCTGAGGAGGGAGCCCTGGTGGCACAGCAGTTACGCTGAGCTACTCGTTGGAAAGTAGCGGTTCAAACTTGGCAAAGGCTGTACCCTCAGGACAGGTCTGCTCTGTGACACTGGGTGGTCATGGCTCACACACTAGACTGGATACCACCAATCACGACAGTCCCTAGAGGAGCGTAGTTGTGCCTGATGCTGAGACCTGAGGGGCCTCTCCCCTCCCCTCCCTTCCCAGGAGCCTCTGCTCAGGAACTTTGTGGTCTGAGTGGTGTCCGTCTTGCAGACCCCAGGAGGAGCCCACTACCTGGACTGGCTACTTCGGGAAAGTGCTCCTGGCCTCTACCAACTACCTGCCCTCGCAAGTCACAGAGATGTTCAACCAGGGCAGGGCCTTTGCCACCGTCCGTCTGCCCTTCTGCGGCCACAAGAACATTTGCTCCCTCGCCACGTGAGTAGCATGGTGCCGTGGTGACTGTCTTGTAGGCCCAGGAGAACTTGGAGGGAGGGACATGGGGAGACAGAAAATACTCCTATGTAGTGAGCAGACATGTAGGCTCTCTCGGTGGTGTTCTGCTTACTCGCACACTTCCACTTTTGTGCAAAGTCTTTGGTGTTGATCAAAATCTGTCATCATGTCAAGCTGTGAGCTCACCAAAGTAGAGCCACTTGGGGCTGTGAAAGCTTCCAAGTCCCTATTCTAGCGCCAGGGTGCAGGCTAAATGGTGTGGGCAACACACAAGGACACCACCTTTCCAATTCAGCACACCTATGTGATCCCACATGGCCTTATTTAGCATCCTATCTGTCAAAATGTTGCTACGTGCCATCCAGGTGGTTGCAACTCATAGCAACCCTGTATAGGAGGAATAGCCAGTGGGTTTGAACTACTGACTTTGGTGTTAGCAGTCCAGTGCTGATCCTACCGCACTACACGAGGACTCGTCTGTCAGACCAGCATGACTGAAAAGTTAGAAGTCAGTGTCTGCCAATCTTAGTCCTCAGAGAAACCATGGGCTGGCCTGTTCTGGCCTCCTCACATGAGGTTACCTTGACCTCACTGGACGGAGTGCTATGCACGTGGCCGTGAGTATGTGGCGCTCAGGAGGCGGCACCCGAGCAGCGCTGCTGGTCTCCTCGTGTACTTTTTGTGGGCACTAGAGTCCTGGACTTCACTTTTTCTATCACCAGAATTCAGAAGATTCCCCGACTGTTGGTGGGTGCATCAGATGGGTACCTGTACATGTACAACCTGGACCCCCAGGAAGGGGGCGAGTGCACCCTGATGAAGCAGCACAAGTGAGTGCAGTCAACCTGGCTCAGCCCCGGTTACTCAGCCTGGCTGACTCCCAATTTTCTCCTTCCCAAAGAGAGTTAATATGTGAGCGTTGCTCTCCCCCAGGGGCGGGGTGCCACACCTGCTACTTGTAGAGATTGGGGTGGGCCTCAACACAGCCTAGCATGCATGTCCCCACTGCAGGGAGGTTGTTAGTGTTAGTCAGTGTAGTCAGTGGGGGTGGGGGAGCCCTGTTGGAGCTTCTATTAGGTTATGCTTGCCTTTTATTTATTTTTATTTTTTTCCCTGTAAAGTCCCAACAAGAATGCAGGATTTTTTTTTTTTTTTTTTTTAAACTTTTTTGTTGTGAAGTGAGAATGACTACAGTAATAACAGAGGTGGGATAGAGAACTGTCGTTAACGGTGAGCAGACACCCCAGGTGATGTGGAAACTGTCTCGGGGGTGGGCACCCTAAGTGCCCTGTCTGGGGGTGCACCCCGTGTCCTATGGCAGCACCATTGTGGAGCTGAGTCGTGTGTGTCTCCTTCTGCCTGCTCCAGGTTGGATGGCAGCCTGGAGACAGCCAGTGAGATCCTGGACTCTACGTCCCATGAGTGCCCCTTAGTCACCCCGCCGTACAGCACAGCCGCAACCAAAGGCACTTGCCTGCCTCCGTCCCCGACGAGACCTGGTAAGGGCTGTGACACCCACCTGGAAGGTAAATTGTGCTGCCGGCGACCTGCCTCTTTAGTTTTCAAACTTTGTGTTTTTCACCCAACCTTCCCCTTAGTGGAGTGGCTCCTCCTGGTGGTTCAGAACACAGGCACTTTGTTAAAGGACTTTCCCAGGTGGGATTCATCATCACGGCCCAGGTTCATGGGAGACCTGCTGCTTCTCTGGAAGTGTTTATTTTTGGGGTCTTTCCCCTCTCATCTGCAGTGAGCAGAGCCAGCACCCAAGTGGACAGACACTGGGTGATTTAGGCAGTGACATTTCTGTGCCATTTCCCAAGCAGTGAGGTGGAACCCCAGTTGAAAACTGTAGTTTTGCTCACCATTATTCTTGACAGTCTGTGTAAACAAAGGGCAACATGTCTCATAGCACCAATTCTGAGTGGCCTGTTGCCAGGGTGAGAGTCATGTTCATCCTCCATGTCTGTGTTCACTAAAGAAAGCTGGGAGTCTGTGTACCACGGAGATCCCTGGATCTTTCTTGTGAGGCTGAGTTAGCAGCTGAGTGTGCACTGCAGCCCACAGTGACCAGGCAGGCCTCTTCGGAACATAACCTCATCTTCAGCAGCAGAAAGCTGCCCAGAACAATGATTTCGACTCACAGCAACCCTGGAGGACAGTAGAGTTGTGTTGTAGGGTTTCCCAGGCTGTCATCTTCCAAAGCAGACTGACCCTCTTGCTCCCACGGAGCAGCTGGTGGCCATCTAGCCACTAGACTTCAATTAGTAGCCAAGCACTTTAACCACAGCATCACCAGACTCCTTAGCAAACACAATCTGTCTAGTCAGTTTTGTCTCATAGCAACCATCTAGAACTGCATAAAGCTTTCCTAGGGTGCTATCTTTACATGTGACCCTGGAGGTGTTTTGCAACCTCAGCTGCTGGTGAGTTAGAACTTCCTTGTGCCACCAGGGTTCCTTGGTAGATTGAACAGAATGTCTTAACATAGACACCCATGATGTTTCCAGACACAGCCCCAGGGTGTGTCTGGGTTGAGTGTCCTGTGACCCCCACATACAAACACACATTGTGTGTCTGGGTCATATGCCCTGTGACCTTGGGTGTCTTTGCAGCCTACTCAGACGATATGGGCGCAGCTGGCGGCACATGTCTAGAAGAAGAAGCCGGTGCGCTACGACTAGACGAGGACAGTGAGCATCCTCCCATGATCCTTCGGACGGATTGAGCCTGACCTCTGAACTCTGACCCCAGAAGCTGAGCACATGGGCTTGGGAGAGAACTTGGTGCTTTGCTTCTGTGAACTTTGACCTGAGTTGGGGGCGAGGATGGCAGAGACTTAAAAAGAGATTGTAGCTGTAGTCTAATTCCATACTGCTGAGAAAAGACATTTTCAATTCAATGGCTTTTAATTCCGCTTGCAGATGTTAGCTTTTTGGGGGTATTTGATTTTTGTTCTTGTTTTGTTTTTCTCTTTTTGCCAAAATTAACAGTTTGGTGAGGCCCTTGAACCCTCCTTGCTTTGCATGCGTTCATGTGCCAAGCCAGCCTAGGCGTGCTAGAAGTCATGTCTTAATAAACTGAAGTTGTCTGGGTTTCATGTACGTGCACAAGGGTGAGCGGACAGTCTGCTCGGGACTGGCCGGTGTGCAGGGCGGCTGGAGAAGAGCCCACCTCTCCGTGGACCCCGCCTGGACCACTGTTCCCCATTCTGTTGGTTCATTAAATTCTTTCTAAGTTGGATGACCCTGGGATCTCTTCCAAGGTGGACTTTGCTTTTTGTCTCTGGTCTTGTTCTCCATGTGGGTTCTAGAAGAGAGGTCTGTGATATGTTTCCCCACGTCTGACCGCAAGACTACCCAGAGGGAAGGCCGCGAGCTCGTTCATATCATTAAATGATCTGTTCTTTTTCTTTCATCCTCCTGTTCAATAATTGTGTGAATTTCTTTAGGAGCATTTGTAGCTCCTCAGCTGTCAAAGCACAGTAGAATTTGATGCGGAGCTGAGCGTCCTGCCTGCCAGGACTTCTCCAGTAACTCGGTTTGGTGGTGAGAACTAGAACCCCGAGAGGGAGGTGGGCTGTGAGCTCCTGCCCACCCTGGTGTCCATGTGTGCCTTTTCTTCTTCAATCTGACAAAATCCGCTCAGCACAGCTGTGAGAGAGGTTGCAATTCTGTGTGTCAGTATTTGCCTAGCTCCCCTTTTTGTTTCCTGTGGGATGAAAACAACCTCAGATACCTCAAGCCCTACATCCCCAAATAAAGAGGCTAAATCAGAGAGGGAGGTTTCTGTGTTGACTCCACAGAATGGTGGAGGCTAAGGATAGTGGTGAAAAAGCAAAGCACTGCTGGTCCCCCCTGCCTTTTCATGCCTTCAGGCTTTCGAACAGAGCATCTGTGTGTCTGGTGGGCTCACTAAGTCGCTTTTGTGAATGAGACGAAGGGCATTGTAAAGCAGACCACCTGTCAAGGAGTGTGCTTGGAAATTCAGTGCATTTTCCCAGGACCACCTTATAAAGTGGCTGACTTCCCACTGAAATCTAAACATTCCGGAAGTCTCCAGGAGAGTTGCTTAGGGCAGCAGCGGCAAGAAGTTTCTTGTGCTAAGAAGTGAAGGGGGAGCCACAACCTGAACTTTGGTGATGGCTGTTGTGGACCTGACAGTGTGACCCATAGAATCAAAAGGGCCTGGCAGGACACAGCCTTGACCAGGCCAGAGTCTTGGGATGCAGGAACTGAAGCATTCTCTCTGGCGCTCTGTAGAGCAAGACATTGTGCTATTACGGTGGCACATTTAGCCAGAGTGTTCGGAGTGCAGGTGTGAAGATTAAAAAGTCAAAAAGAATCCACAATTGAAAGGTGGAACCTGACAACCAAAGAAAAGTGCATTGCATGTTCTGTGTTGAAATATGGAATTTTGGTGCCTGTGCTTGTAAGTTAACTTTGGGGAGTCAGGTCCACTCCACCAGAGTTGTTACGGTAGAGAGGCACATGCTTTGCTAGGAGATCTAGAAGTTGTTTGGAATTCCCTCACTGTGATCATGAGGCGGCTAGACAAGATGGTATTTGGTGCCTGGGGTCCCTCTCCGATGGGTGGCCCGCCAATGGAGCAGGCAGGTGGGTGAGTCCCTTGTGGGGCAGGGTAAACCAGCTAATTGTCTTGGAGGCTTTCCTGTCGCCGTCTGACTACAGTGTCCGCACAGTGAGGGAATGTGGAGTGTGTTTGCTGACCGCTGTGGTCAGGAAGGCCGGGTTTACCTCGCTTTCTGTGGGCCTGAGACCTCGGGGAGGCAGCTAAGGAGAAGGACATGGAGCTGCTTAAGTGGTCAATGGTAGAACCACACAGAACACACGTACAATTTGCTGGACTCCAAATGATACAACAATAGGGATTTTTTTTTTTTTTTCAATTTCCTATTTTTCCAAACTCTATGGGCAAATGTGATTTGGGACCAAACCTTTTGTATTTTCTAAAACACGTAAATCTGGAGTCAGAGGACCGAACCCCGCACCAGTAAGGTGAGCTGGGTGGCTGAGGACAGACACCCCCGGGGCCTGGGTTCTGGGTGACGTGCAGGAATGGTCCTACCTCACAGGGCTGTTGTGAGGTTGACTCTGAGCATGTGTACGTGTACTGCTGGCTCCCTGCTGGGGTGGCCTGCAGGGGGCACCCAATAAACGTTCAAACAAACTCCTGGAAGTACACAGATGGTTTTTATTCAGCCTGGTGTCTGAGTGCAAAGCTGGGTGGGAAGGAACTCCTGTTTCCAGGGAGGCCTGGACCCCTCAGTCTCCCCATCACCTTACCCTGCCCCTCTCCCACCAGGTTCCCAGAACCCCTGCCAGGGAGCCAGTATTGTGACTGTTTCCTAGCCACAGCTGTTTGTGGAGAGGAGAAAGCCTTCTAGTCTTTTCCGCAGCAACAGTGACCACGTGCAGGAAAGACCAGGGATCCAAAGGGGAAATGCATACGGATGTCATCAGTTCCCAGGCCTCTCTATGTAGCAGTGTGGTGCCCCATCCCTCAGGTGTCTAGACCACTGCAATCAAGCAAATACCACTTTGAAGTCAAGCGAGTCACTTGATTTTAGTTGTTTCCCAGTGCTATTTAAGATCCATTTACACTCCACCAGAATGTATGCGGAAGAAGCCCTGGGAGTGTAGTGGGCTACGAGCTGGGCTACAGTTTCAGTCTACCCGTCGCTCCACAGAACAAAGAGGCAGCTTTCTGTTCCTGTAAAGATATATAGCCTCAGACTCTCTACAGGGTCGTTATGAGTCAGAACTGACTCCACAGACCACTACCACCACCATCACCATTGTAGTCTCTGCAAAATTCTGGTGTGGCGATGTAGGATACATACTGGACTGGTGGTTCAAACTCACCAGGTGTTCCTTGGAAACCCTTTTGCTGAGTCAGAAATCACTGTGAAAACTGGAAATACTGTGAAAGTGACCCAAATTGAGACGCAGACCCAATCTGGGCACGCATGATTGGTAAAATGGCACCAATAGACTTGGTCAACAACTCAGTTGCTACAAATCCTCAATTAAAAAAAAATACAATAAAATAGCCTGTGTATACGTTTACAAGTGGGCTTTGCAACAAAGGACACTTGTTGCTGTTGTCCCGAGTCATGCCAACCCTATGTGGTGTGTGTCTGTCAGAGGACGTATGTGTGAGTGACACCTTTCACTGAATGTGGTGAGCAGACAACTTTTGTGGGTCTTTCTTAGTTCTTTTCCACACCATGGCACCCTTGGGCCCATGGTGGACCTTCCCATCCCATTCCTAGCCTTTCTGAGCGTCTGACTAGAGAAGGATTTACTTTGGAGAAATTAAATATTTCCAAGCTCGGCACTTAGAGATGCTCTTTTTCTATTTCGTTTTTAGTGGGATGTGTTGCTAGTGTGAATGTGTGTTTGTGTGCAGTGTGTGTGGGTGGCAGGTGTGTGAGGGGGTGTAAAATTGTGGGTATTGAGTGTAGGTGAGGGTGTGGGGGATATGTCTGAGAAGGGGGTATCTGAATGGTGAGGGGGTGTCTGAGTGCTGGGGTGTGGGAGGCTGTAGGTAGTGTGAGGGTGTGTATGTGTGTCAGTGTGTATGTCAGCTCTGAGGGGGTCTGTGTGCGTGTATGAGAAGCCATGTGTTTACCAATTACCTTCCTTCCTAAATCTACTTGAGAGCCCACTGCTGCCAGCGTGTCATAACTGCATTAAGAAATAAAAGCGTGTGCTGTCTCGTAGGCTGTATGTTTAATTTGTACTCTATTTAAACATGTTGTAATTCTGCTCAAAGCCATAGCCAGGCATAAGGACCCTGAAGATCAAATGAAATCATGTGCCAGTTTCCATTCAGAACTGAAACGTTTTCTGTGTGTAGCACCACTGTCTAGAATCCCCTGCCTTCATCTGAAACGTCTAAGACCCTGAATCTCCCAGCATAAATTGGAGGAAGTCCGCCTGACCTCTTGCGTCTTGGTTGGTCAGAATGCTTGACGTCGTAATGGGGTGAAGACGGGAACAGCTGTGTGTGTGTTCATGAAGACCATCTTTTGGTTAAGCTGTCCTTAAAATGAGAGGCTAGGTTGCTTCTAAAATTTCCCCCTTCTCTGTGGAAATCTCCCTCTGCGTTGGAAAATTTGTTCCTTTTACATCCCAAAGCCAAACATTCCCTGTGCTTCCTGACCCGGAGCTCCCTGAGAGCTATAACCCTAGGACCGACTCCTTCTCTTCAGCCACCACCCTTTCCCCTAGCTGCTGAATTCTAAAGCAAGAACATATGCATTTCACCCACTGTATTCATGGATGAACCTGCAGATGTAACTGAGGAGCAGAGTTGCTGTGAAGTGCCGTGGAGTCAGTTCTGACTCATAATGACCCTGTATAGGGTTTCTGAGGAGCAGCTGATGAGCTTCAACTGCCTACCTTTCGGTTCAAACTGACCTTGCAGTCCAGCACATTAACCCACAGCGCCAATGCTTCTTGCCTGTCTTGAGGGAGTCCCCTTCACTGCTGACCACCCCTGACACATATAGTGCCTGGTCCTTGTTTAGGATAAGGCCATGGAGATTAGACCAAGGTCCACCGAGGATAACTTAAGGGAGCTGTTCAGGGATTAAGAAACCCACTCTAACAAGGCCAAATGCATATGAAGTAGCTGTTAGACACCTCAGCATTCTGGGATGCTCTGCTGAGATCAACTTTGCAAAGAGTGAGCCTCCAAGAA